TAATGAAATCACCTTAGCGCGCCGAGTGGAGTGACAGCGAGCCGCTGGATTTGTGCATATTCCCATAATCCTAAACCCATTAGCCAGGAGGCTCCGTGCGAACCACATGTTGCGGATTACAGCCGGGAAAAAGGCTCCGACAAAACCCCGACCCTCTCTCTAATTGCAGGGGGGAGGCGCAGAAACCCCTCCCGAGGGTGGGAGGTGCAGCTCAGAGCTCCCTTCCAGCAGCTCATCAATTTTTTTTTAGGGAATTAAGGTGGAGAGCTGTCCCATTATTTTGCTGTGCACTGTTATTAATGGGAATAGGAATTTTTGCCTTCCCTCAATTGTTTTTGGAAGAGCTGGTGCCCGTGAGATGCCTGGCTGGAGGGGATGCTTGGGATGAGCTCCAGTGGCTGCTGGTGCTTCCAGAGCCCAGCTGGCTGTGCCAGGAAGGGGATATCTCACAATCTCTGGGATTGGGAAGAGGAACAAAGTRTCCCTGTCCACAGGAGAGCAGCCTGTCTGGTGGAAGTTGTCCYTGTCCATGGCAGGTGRTCGGAACAGGATGATCCTCAAAGTTTCCTCCAACCCAAACCTTTCCAGRATTCCACGACCCTACAACAAATACTCCTTTCCTTCCTTCTCTCTCTCCTAATTCCTTCCTTCCCAATTTAAGCTCCTCTCCAGGATAATGCAATAAAGACACGAAGCACCTAATTTTCGGTGGGGGACAACAGACGCGACGGTGTATTTACCCAGTCAAACCATTATGAAATCCTACAATTATGGCTTCAATCAGATAAATGCAATTACATAATACGATCTTATACGATATAATTAAAAACATCTGCAATCAAACCGAAGCCGATGGTACAGTAATCCTTAATCAGAAATTACCCAGCTCCGGCGGAGAGGTTCCATCCCGGAATCCGGCGGGACATGGCGACGGCGTGGGAGGGATGATGAGGGAGGATGGCGGTGGCCATGGGTGACAACGGGGAGCTGGAGGGACCTCTGGGCCAACCCTGCTGATCCCTGACCCCAAATCCATGCYCACCTCCCCTGGGACACCGAGGTTTTGCCGCAGACACGGAATAACTTGACCAGGAGTCTGCCGGGGTCTCAGTTTGGTAGTCCCTGCCTGAAAAGCAACCAGGGATTCTCCCTGGGAATGGGAACRGGCATCAACATCCACATCAACATCCACTTGTGGTTGTTCTGGCCGTGCCAGCCCCCCATCCTGGTGCCGGGCTGGGAGCGCTGCAGCTCCAGGGCGTTGTGCCCAGCCCTGGCGTGTCCCCGCGGCCGCCGGCTGGCACCAAATGAAGACAAATGGGCTGGGTGACACATCAGCATCCATTAACGGCAGCGCCACGTTGGGAGCGCTGGGGACGCGCCAGCACGGGCAGGAGGAGCGGCAGCCTTGGGTCCAATACCTCACCCGGGAGCCCAAAGGTCACAGGGGGCTGGGGCTTCCACACCTCCAGCTCAGCTCTCAACCTGAAGCTTTTGGCGAGGGAAGGAGTTGGATGGATCCAGCACGGTCTTTCCACRTCCCCATTGCTCTGAGCCCCTCAGAACCAGCAGCCCCAGCTCCTGCTCTCCCCACCTGCCTTTCACGGGGTTTTTGGGGTGCACACATGAACCCTCCCTGGCTCATCTCTCGGGTGACTCAGGCACCCCAGCACACTCAGATTGGAAGGGATTTCCAGCCCATGCGGCGCCTGTGCCGCAGCTGTCCGGGGGGGCCGTGGGGTGAGGCGGGAACGCCGACCCTGCCAACCTTTTCCACCCCCTGACCTTTCCCCAGCCCCTCTYGGAAATGCCACGCAGCTCCTCTCCGGGCCAGATGAAATGTCAGGAGAGGTGGATGGAATATTTCCAGCCGCCGTGCCGGGTGCTGCGGGGGGTTTTCCCCAGCGCTGCGAGAGGCTCCAGAGGGAGCACGGGCTGGGTTCCAGCCTGTCCCCATCCTTGTCYCCAWCCTWGTCCCCATCCTYGTCCCCATCCTCATCCCCGTGCCACCCCGGCGCGGGCCCGAGCCGCGCTCGGCTGGCTGCGAGCGTTTAAGCAGAATTGAGTGTGTGTTCAGGCACTTTCAAACACAAGTAATCTTCATCTGGGAGACGGGAAGTGAAATATGTTATTGCCGGGCGCAGTAAATTACCCGTGCCAGCCCCGGCGGATAAAACATCGCCGTCGCCGGCCGGCGCAGTCACTCACCCGCGCTGGGCCGCCACCGCCCCATCAATTACGAAATAAATGGCTGCTGGTCAKCTCGGACACGGGGCCGGGGCTTGTGTGGCCGTCGTGGCACCGGGACCCGCCCCAGCRCCAGGCAGGCACCCGGTGTCGGCGSATGGATKCCTCCTGGAAAGCACCAGAAGGTCAGCGGGAGCCGGGGACCGAGCGGCACTCCCCGCAGCTCCTCCGAGCAGCTCGRTGTGCCGGCTGGTTCAGCTCCCGCTCCCCGGGAACGGCCCCAGCGGGGTGTCCTTGTCATCCTGGCGACGCTGCTCCGTCAGGGCTAACGAGCTGCTGCGGCGGAGGAAGCGCCCGGGGAAGGCGGGGGGCCAGTGAGCCGCTCCCGCTCCTTCATTTTCCCGGGAAAGACCTTTGGAAAGCCAACCCCRAGCCCGTAAAATAAATAAAATAAATTCCCGCAACTTTAACAATCATTGTGTTGGATTTGGGAGATGTTATTCCTCGTGACAGACAAGGGCAATTATCTGCTATCCGCCAGCAGTTTTAGCCTAATTTCATTACTGCTGTGCAATTCTTCCCGAGCCGCCAGTCTATCACTGTCTCCCAGAAAGGATTAGCCGGCACTTTCTTCATCTTCAAATGAATTTTAGCTGTCATGCCCTTGATGAATAGAAGAGGGAGGACGGTGAACCCACGCCGGCAGCCCGGCTGTGCCACGGCGCCGGCACCGGGACCGGAGCATCGCCGGAGCCGCCGGGATGCGATTTGGGATTTGCTGCYGTGCGGGATGAACCGGCCGCGGGGTTTTCTTGGAGAGCACGCTGGAAGCGGGCAGGGCTCGGAGCTGGTGCCCGGCATCCRGGAGGGATTAAAATGACAGGATTTGTAATACAAGGAAATAACCAACGCGCCGTCCTTCCCCCTCGCCGGGAGATGCTTATCTGTCAGCCCGGGCCACTGAGGGATGTAGAAAAGCAATTTCAGCTTCAGAGTTGGAACTGCAGAGGATGCTGCAGGGAGAGTGTCCAGGAGACGGTGTCCCGGGAGGATCCACCACAGTCCTGGAGCTGACGGGAGGATTGAGGCATCGTTTTCTGGCCAAGCTGGAACAAGGCACACGGAGCACAGAGTGTATTGTCCCCACCRCCTCTAGCTGTGCCAGGGGAGGCTCAGGTTGGACATCAGGAGGAATTTYCTCATGGAAAGGRTGGTCAGGCMYTGGAAGGGGCTGCCCAGGGAGGTYCGGAGTCCCTGACACTGAAGGTGTCCATGGAACACCTCAATGTGGCACTCAGTGCTCTTGGTGACACAGTGGGGATCGGGCACAGATTGGACTCAATGATCTTGTAGAGCTTTCCCAACCTGAATGATCCTGGAATTCTGTGAAATATCAGGGAGCCCAGCAGCGAGAAGAGCCCAGCTGTCCCTTGGGACACCCAGAGTGGGTGCAGGGCCCGTCCCGGGTCCCCCCAGGACGTGGGACGTCACCTTGCRTAAACGGAAGCTCCGGAGCCGGGGGCTGGCGCCGGCCCAGGGGCTCTGTTATTTTTGTAAACGTTCATTCCCACCCGGCACAGCATCCTGGCGGAATATTTTAGCACCTTTAATGCAATTTCCTACTCCCTCTGAAATATCATTTTAATAGAAGCCAGCCACACCGCGTACCTGCTCCCTAATAAACCTCTGCGACTTTAATGAACTAAATAGCAAATTACTTTTTTATTCAAGAATGAAATTTCATCATATTCATAATTCATATTTTATTTCAGACATCTGCTGCTGATTACATTACATTTAACTAAAATTAGATGATGCTCAGAATGTAATTAAGCCCCTGCCAAATTCTCTGGCCCACCAATACCAGCCTTGCTCAGCGGGGGCCGCTTGGAACCTAATATGTAATTAGGAGCTATTTTCTAGCTGTTTTTAAAGTCTGAAAATTAGCTGCCTTTATTAATCACACAGACAAATATAAAGCAGAGCCAACGCTTGCTGAAATTTCTAAAAAGGATTTTTTTTTAATTATACACCACATAGCGCTGAGACTCATTTTGAATGTTGATTTGTTGTGCACTGACATTTTGACAACTAGTTCTCAATTTGTCTGTCGTAGTTAGGCAACAACAAAGCAGACGGTAATACTTAACTTTCAAAACCTTCAGCGTGCTGGGAGGGGAGAGGGATTGGGAGGGGGGACAAGGGGGGACGGGCTCCCTGTGAGCCCCGGGGATGGGGGAGCCCAGAAATCCCTGGGGATGGCAGAGAGAGGGGCCAGATGCACAAATCGCCCTTGAAATGGCTCTGGGTGGGATCCCCAAACCCTCCAGGCGTGTCTGAGGGTCCTGCAGAGGTCCCAGTGCCACCCCCATCCCCGGGAGGGTCCCCGGGAGTGGGAGCAGCCCCCCAGCACCGCGTGGCTGCGCGCTGACATTTCCTCGCTCTCCCTGACCCTGCTCCYGCTCCCTCCGTGATCCTCAATAATGTCACTGCCTCCTCAGCATCGACTCAGCGGAGCAGAAAGAAGGCGCTGCTGACACGGAGTGCAAACAAACAATAATACCATCTGTGCCTGCCAGCGCCCGGGCGGGGAACRCCGGGGTCCCGGCTCAGGGGGGATGTGCTGTCCCTGGAGCCCTACAGGGCACTGGGACATTCCCCAGGGATGGGGAGAAACACCCTGGCAGTGATAGCTGTGAAGGAAAAGTGAGATTTTGAGAGGTATTTTTATACAGTGCTATCCATTTTGTGTCATTTTTGCTGGGTGACCCCCCACTCCAGCTCTCCCCAGACCCCCACACCCCACAATTCCTCAATCCTTCCTTCAGGCTGGAGCAGAGCCTCCCCTCCCCATCCCTGTGCTGGCTATTAGAGGCAAAGCCAGGCTCGTTAGTCTTTCTGCAGAGCTCGTAATGTGAAAAATGAAGCTTAAGAAAAATTAGCCAAATTACCAGGCTAATCCTTCAGCAGCAATCGCTGCCCTGCTGCACATCAGTCCCGCGGGGCGCCTGTGAGAGGAAGGGATGATCCGTGGGGAGAACGAGCTCCACGGGCTTCAGCTGAGCTCCCAGAGCAGCAAAGCACAGCAGGGACAGGGCTGTGCCTCATCCTGTCCCCGTGGGGCATCATCAGCCCCATGGCAGCAGCTGCTCCTGCTGTCCCGGGCTCAGGAGGGGCAGGGATGGGGTCCAGAGTTCAGGGAGTCACCCCAGGAGGTTGCAAGTTGGTGTCAGTGAAGGAAGGTGGGGACAGAAACATTGCAGCCCTCCCTCGGGTTATCCCTGCAAAGCSTTTGATGGAGCTGGTGAAGGAGGAGTTTGGAAAGGAGGGAATGGGCACTCCCGTGCTCACAGATGGATGTGAAATCTGTGCTGGCTTCCAGCACACTGGGACGGGCTCCAGCTGCTGACTTCGGCAGTTCTGCTCCCTGTGGCACACGGAAGGCAGATCCCAGGCATCACCCTGGACCAGAGTCCTTCCCACAGAGCCCAGCATGGGTCACCCTCCTGCTCAGGACACTGCCACCCCCCTCCCTGCCCCGGGAATGCCACCACTTCCACTCTGGCATGGAACAGAGCAGGATGAGCGCTGCTGGAGGAACCTGCAGAGGTGGCTGGTTCAGGGTGGACAGCAGGAGGGATTTTCTCATGGAAAGGGTGGGCAGGCCTTGGAAGGGGCTGCCCAGGGAGGTTTGGTGTCCCCATTCCTGGAGGTGCCCAAGGAACAGCACCTGGAGGTGGCACTCAGTCCTCTGGGCTGGTGACAAGGTGGGGATCAAGCCCAGCTTAGATTCCATGACCTTGGAGAGCTTTCCCAACCTGAATGATCCCRGGATTCTGTGAATTTCCCCTCCTCAGAGCCAACAAGGCTCAGCCCCAGCCTCAGGGTTTTGAAGGGAAGCTCCCCATGCTAGATCTGGCATCTCTTTGTGCCAACATCACAACGCAGACACATGTAAGTGGTTAAAGTCAACACGCTCCCAGATCCTCACATTGATTACACTGTATTAGAAAATGGTAAATTATTTATCAGCCTTTCTGACTTGTGATTAGTGTAAAGCCGCTCTCRGATGCAAATTGGAATTGTAATTAGACATGTAGAAAGGCAGCATCTGAGACCTGCTTTCCCGAAGCAGTGTAAGGTACTTTTTTCCTTTTGTATCCAGCATAATTATCAAAGAACGCTTTGCACATAAAAAAAACATGGATTTATTAAAACCAGAGACAGTTTTACATGGGATCAGGGAACTAAAGCTGGTCACCATGATGSTGGGAGTTTAGAGCTAGAACATCTCACCTCCTTCTCACGCTTGATTTTTTTTATCCCTGGGCTGGAAGGRGAAGGCAAGTTCCCCACCTCTGCCAATTCATTACTCAGCTTTGAGTGAAGCGATTCTTGAACACAGTTACACTTAAAAACCACTTAAAAAACCCATCCCAGACAAACAGAGCAATGATAAAACCCCTTTGGCAGGTATAGCAGAGACCACAGTCCCTCAGAGTCAGCTCATGACTCCCAGAGATTCTGGCTTCAGCCACATCCTTGCCAATTCCCTTTCGTTCTGTGGCCCAGCTCATTAAAATTTCAGGAGTAAAAAATGCATTTACATTTGTGTAATAAGTCTAAATGCATTTAGGTTTTAGAGTTTGTCAACTGCAACTCATGGTGAGCTTTTGAGGACGTGGTTTGGGGTTCTTTCCTCTACTTAATTACACCAAAGTAAACCCAACACCAGGCAGAGTCAGGGACGTGCTGCTTCAAGAGTGAAGTTGGGAGAACAGCTTTTACAAGGAGAAATTTTAAGCCTGCCCTTGCCTGGAGCTGCCCTCCTTGCAGGTGCTGTTTGAGCCAGACTTCGAGCATGTGAATAAAAAACAGAGCCTGACTACAGGACTCTGCTTATCAGCCCAGGCAGAGATTATTTAAAAGAGTGAAAACCAGTAATTTCACTAGAATTGTGCTTTATCTCGCAATTTAATTACCCGACACTTAATTAGTAGCAGGGAAGAGCTGTATTAAAGGTTTCCTCTTCACTGGGAATTGCAGTCCAGAAGAAGCAGAGACCTGAGCACCAAACCCTGAGCTGCCAAAGATGCTCTTCACCGAAAAATGTCAAAGCACTGTGCACATCCACCTTGCCAGCCCCCACGGGACACCAGGGATGAGGGAAAAGGCACCACATACATCTGAAGCAGCAAAGTGTCATTATCCACCCGGGAATGCAGCCAAGCCCCTCTCCTCCTGCMCCMTGGGATCAGCACAGCARTTGAGGAAGGAAATTCAAACCGGGATTTTGAGAGCCTTGGTCAAACACCATCGGGTGGGTACACCCAGGGACCCATGGCAGCCCCAAATCCCAGTGACACCAGGCCCCAAACTGGCTCCACACCCACATCTGGAGGCCTTCATCCACACAGGGGGAAGTTTTCCAGGCACTGGGCACATAAAGCTCCGAGATGTGCTGCCATGAGCTCAGTCCTGCTGGAGGCAGCAGYTCAGCTCTGGGCCAGCCCGTGCAGCACTCGGGCACTCAGAGAGGAGCAGGAGTGCAGGGTCACCCCGGGAGCCCCRATCTTGGTCTCCCAGCATTCAAATCCACAGGCACACAAGTCTTCCTTGGCTGCTTCCACGGCCAGCRGGGAGGTGTCTGCCAAGAGCAAGGCAAGAGCAGCCAGCGAGTCAGCTCGGCCACTGCAGGGAGAGGGAAAAGGCCACAGCTCCTCCAAACACAGCCCCTGGCAYGGGGCCAGCGCCCTCAGGGGCTGACACACACAAATGAACACTCTGAATCGGCCCTGGATGACACTCTGCAACCCACAGTGCCAGGCAGTGCTGGGACAYGTCCCACCCATCCCTCCAGAGCCAGAGCAGGGCTGGCAGTGATCCCTCTGCTCCCAAACCTGACCCTCCCAGGGCTGTGAGGAAGAGSAGGATGCCCGAGGGGGTGTCACTGACCTGGTGGCAGCAGGGTGATGCCACAGCCACCCCCACCAGCACCGGTCAGCTTGCTGTGCAGCCTGTGGGACGCTGTCACCTGGCACAGCCTGTCCAGGGAGGGGTGRCCCACTCCAAGCACGTTTAAGTGGTGTTGGTTTATATCAAAGAATTCCTAAAAAGAGAGGAGATGAGCACACATGGAGATTGAGGCTCTTTACAGCAGCAGGAGCCCTGCCTTCCCATACATCCCTTTCCAACCACCTCATTCCTGCAGAAATTTAGCCACCAGCACCAGRAGTAAGGTCAGGCCAGAGTCTGAGCCCTGGGCTTGCAGAGTGATAGGGGTGCAACAGCTTCTGCACCTCCCAGGAAAATCCTGATCCCCATGAGCTGCCAGCAGGCATTTACTGCAGAGCCCCCGACGCCTCCCAATGGCTTCTCCCCTCTCCTGTCACTGAGTGCTGAGCAGGAGGCTGTGCAAGGCCCCTCACTGGCCGTGGGAAGGGCAGCGAGCCAGCAGCTCTCATTCCTGGCTGTCACCCTGCCCTGCAATCCATTCAGCAGAGCCAAATCCAGGCACTTCTGACACGGCTGAGGCATGGCTGGAGAGGTGACACCGAGGGACCTCCTCTTGTTTGCTCTGGGCAGGGCTGGGAGCCAGGGAGCCTCTCTGGCACCCAGCTCAAGTGGGGTCGAGAGGGTCCTCCCCTCTGGGAGCAGCACTGGTCCCTCTCTGAGTGAGCCCACCCTCCTGGCAGAGCTGTGGGAGCATCCCTGCCACGCTTCCCTGCCAGCCAGACCTGCTGCTCCCAGAGAGAGATGCCCCAGCAGCAAGGTCCAAACAGCCCAAGGGATGGACACAATCACACWGAAATGGAAATTACAGCTTCTCCCCTCCCAGCAGGACAGGTGAGGAATTCAGGAGCAGAGGGAAGGGCCTGGCCTGTGCTCAGAGCAAGTCTGGAGCAGGGCCAGGAGCAGACACCAGTGCTCCCTGAGCGGCTCCAGCAGTGGAGGAAGGTTGTTCTCAGCAATACTGGTCTGACAGCCTGACTCCATCAGCCCCAAAGCGTGTGGTGGTTGCTCCCAGAGAGTGTCACAAGCCAGGAGCGAGCCAGGACAGGAGCAGTCCCACAGAGAATCCCTGACAGAACCCGGGTGAGCCAGGAGGGACTCTGGGAGGGACAGGGAGCAGCAGGGCAGGTGTCAGCACATCCCCATCCCTCAGCTCCACCYGGGAATCCTGCCAACCSCACAGAGGAGGGGACACTGCAGAGAGAATCCYTCTCCCCCCTCCAGAGCATTTCTGTCCGGTGGAGACACTGTGGGAAGAGGAAGCCGCCACCCATTGCAGGCTGGGCAGGACACACGTCCATCCTGAGGCCTCTTTATATGCCTGAGTGAGGGCACAGCACTGCCTGTGATGATCCAAGACACCTGTCATCTCCTGATCCAAAATCTGCCAGGAATCCGATGACAGCTTATGACACACTAGACTAGTTCCRTGGCTCAAATACAGCGCTGGCCGGAGCTGCACATTTCACAAACAGCCMAAAAGAGATATTTTTATAGATATGTGCTGCATCTCATCAGCTGGGCCTCTGTGGGCTCTTCAAGCACAAGACAAAACAACAGATTCAAGACAGGAACCTGCTCACTGCAGGGCTGCTTCCCAGGTGTGGGACACAAGGATGCTTTGGCATTTTCCACGTGAGGATCTCAAAGCACAGGTCACATTATGCCCCCTCTTTCCTGTTCCCAATACATCTGACAGCTTGAGGATGTGGAATTAAGGTGAGGAGCTGTGGAGTTGTGSTGTGAACAGACTGCAGGTCCTGAATCCCACTGTTTCCCTGGTGAAAAGGGAGCAGGACTCTGCAATGAATCCCATGGGAAAAACCCRGAGTGASAGCAAGGACAAGCAGAGGTCTTCAKGAGAGCCAMGGGGAARCATCCAGATGCCAACAAGGAACTGCACTGCTGCTACCAAATGGTTCCTGAGTGTCCAAGTTGGCTCCCAGGGCCAGGCCAGGTTTGCCTCAGCTGGGACATGGCCACACATCCCTCCCCCACGGYGCTGTGGAGCCGCTTTACAGCACTCTCAGCACTTCTTCCACTCGGAAGCCTGTTCCTCCCCCTGCCCAGCCTCTGCTCTTTGAGCAAAGCCAAGACAAACAGATCTTTGTGTGCACCTCGTGCATCAATGTCAGGTCAGCTGTGGGCACAGCTCTGTCTGTGGCTCTCTGGAGCCAGGATGAGCTYGGAGTGCAGGGAGCTGGCTGGGAACCAGTCAGGCCATCACAAACCAGTGGCTCCAGGCTCTCTCCTCACTCCAGCCCTGGCAATGACAGAGCAATTGCTTCACAAGCAGCGACTGCCAGAGCCACAGCACGGAGATCACTCAGTGTAAGAGAAACAAACCCTCCAGAGCCACAGGTCCCCAGAGCCCTGCTCCCTCCCTCCCTGCACACAGCTGGGGAGAGGCACCAGCAGCAGCTTCTGGCTCCTGGCTCCAGGAAGAGCATTAAAAAGCAGCACACCCAGACCACRGTTTCGCTCGGAACTGAACATTTCCTGCTATCACAATTTTTTTTTTTTTTCAGACCTAATGTTCTTTAAATGACATTTTGATGTTCAGCAGTAACAGTGGCTAAAAATACTGGCGAGCAAGCCCYTTACCTCCAGCACAGGGTAATGCTCCGGTGATGGATTTGCAGGCATCGTTTCCAGAACACTTTGGCACTCCTGAGAAATGGCATCRATGGAGTCCAGCACCGGGTTCATTATGGCAGGGAACTGGAAAGGGGGAAGGAGGGATGTGAGGTGTCTGCTTGCTGGCCTTCCTGTACCACTGGGAGGAAACTGGTCCCAGTCTCTTTGAGCTGGGCAATTTCTCACTCATTCCCAGAGCAGAGTGATGGTAACCTGCTCCTGCCTGCAGAAAAAGGAGGAAGAGAAGGAGGAAGAACAGGCCAGAGGAAGGAACTGCTCTTTCCATGGTTGCAAACTGCTAATTTTAACTCCTGTTAAACTGGAGGAAGGAAAGAGATGAACTGAAGCCCCGTTCCTGGGCAGCTGGGAAATAGGAATGCAGTCCCACATGACGGTTATCTCCCAAAGGTTATCCCCCACATCTCTATCCCACAACCACGCACCTTCAGGATCTTCTCCTTGACACCAGCCACCAGGACCTTGGTGCTCCGAGGGACTTTAGTGTTGGTCAGCAAGATCCTCAGAGTGGGCACCCTGGARGGAACACGACACAGAGAATCCCAGAGGGCTTTGGATTGGAAGRGACCTTAAAGCTCGTCTCATTCCAACCCTCTGCCATGGACAGGGAACATCTCCTGCCTTTTTCCTTCACAGTCCCCAAGGCTATAGTTTTTTCTGCCTCTTTGAGCAAGAACCCAAGATAAGGAGTCCCATTCATTTTACAAAACTTCAGCAGGTGCTTCAGTGCAGGCTGGGTYCAGGCTTGCTCCTCCTGGATACGAGGAACAACCGTACTAGAGCTATAAATAGGACTGTAATGTATTTACTGAAATCCATGTTTTTCAAGCAAATTTTTTCCTTTGAAATACTCTCTACAAGAGTAGCCAGCAGTGGCCATTAACTGCTAATAGAGCAATTTCATGCACTGTGAAAGATTTTAATGGAGTCAGATTATACTTCCCTGGCAGGAGGCAGAGGGAACGCACAGGACCCAGATTTCTCCCTGCCAATGGGTATTCCCACCACCAGGTAAGCACAAAGTTCCCCCTCCCCACAATGTCATTTACTGCCAGGAGCAGATCCATTCCTGCTGCCCATAATGCCATGAAATTAATATTGATCCTTTGTGCTGTGTTCATCTAATGTCAGATAATGACCCAACGTTTCATTGTCCCCGTCCACCCCAAACCAAGACAACACACGAAGGCTGCCCACACCCAAAATGGGGCTGCAGAGCCCTCTCCAGCCATCTCCCACCATCCTCACACCCTCCAACACCCACCCAGAGCCTCTCTGACATGTTCCACCCACCGTGTGTGAGGGTTATTTTTAAACTCCAGTATTACCTCTTTAATGGTGTGATTTTTCCTGCTTGGTATCTCAGGGCTCCACCTAAAGTAAAATACATGTATTGTCTCAGTACAGAGCGAGCTGAGAGATAACACAGAAGGTCTTTCATCTTCAGAACCTCACCCAGAGCCTGTGACAGTAATTGCAAGGAACACCAGCTAAATGAACCATGTTCTCCAGCAGCACGGCCCTGCCTCACCCTGCTGCCTTAATGAGAAGGTCTGGCTGGACATGCTTAACCCAAGGCCTTTCCCTCTGCTCTCCTCCCCTCCAGGACCACATCAAATAATTTTTGAAAAGGCAGAGTCTGGCCAGCATTAAATCCTTCCTGAAAAAACAGAACYCAGTGGCAATTCTGCATGGCAGAGACAAGTACACGGGATTTCCACAGACTGAACGTGTGCACTGGTGTCAGCAGCCACCCTGCAGCAGGGAATTTTCTCCTTTTCAGAAGGAATGTCTCACTTGGCTCCTATCCTCACAGAGGCACTGAGATTAGGTCTCATTAGAAAGATTATTAACAGTCTCCAAGGACACTTTCAAAACACTGGGAAGTCGCTGCTAATTGAAACTAAATGACAGCTGTCCAACTGCATTTTCCCCTGCATTATCCCCGGGACAGGATTAGGTTTCTTTGTTCGCTGCAGAATGTTTAAATATCAGTTATTTGCAGCGAGGTCTCTGCCCTGTGGCACCTGCCTGGGGGGGGCAGAGCTCTGGTGTTCCTGCAGCCAGTTGCCAACATTCCAGCTGGCTGCAGGCCCGGCTCACAGATGGGGCAAACAGAGACAGGGAAGGATTCAGGCCAAAACAGGGATCTGAATTTGGGAGTTTTTGCTGGGGAGCAGCAAATACACCTACCCCAKGTGCCAACAGCATTATCCACACCCGACGGATTGCCATGGATCACCCGCTCCCCTCGGAAGGCCCAGCTGTTTATCAGTGCCAGCTCCTCCTCTGTCCACCTGGAAGGCAAGGAAACGACTCCAACACAAACCATTCCAAACCAGTGCATAGGGAGGGAGCAGATTCAGGGGGAAGATCCCAGCCCTGGCCTGGTGAAGATCAGATTTAATGGATTTTGAGTCCAGACCCATCCCCACCTCAGCAAACACAGTGTGTTACCACACACTGGAAAGGCTGAGGGAGCTGGGATTGCTCAGCCTGAAAAGAGAAGCTTTGGGGTCACCTAACTGTGCCCTCCCAGTGCCTGAAAGGGCTACAAGAAAGATGGAGAGAGAATATTTACAAAGGCCTGGAATGRCAGGACAAGGYAGAAATYCCAAGAGCCACCTGCTCTCTGGAAATAATTTCCCTTCACTCCCACYTCCCTGGGCCTCAGCTGAATGTGTTTATCCACATCCACACACCTTGCATTCCCCTTGCCAGGATTTAATCTGGGAGCACTCAGCAAACAGCTCACACCATCAGCCTGAGGAACAGGAGTGCTGTAAACCACTTGTTTTTAATCCTCTTTGAGAGGCTGCGGTTCCTCCCGACACGGGAGCCTTTCTATCCCGCTGTTCTTTTCTTGCCATGGGAAGCAAAACCCTTCTGAAGTCTGACACCCCCCTCTCTCTGCACGCCAGCTGGAAGGCAGGAATTATGCTGGATCYGTGCTGAAGCCACGGAGGGCGAGCAGGGAATGAAGACATCCTCGCTGCTCCGCTTGGAGCTGCCCTTTCATTTCCCAATTTGGGAGATTTGCTCGAGCACAGGGGACAAAGGGCTCCCAACAAGAACCTGTTTCTGGGTCAGGCTGCAAATTCTGGTTCAGAAGCAGAACAGAGTCACTCTTCTCCCCTTGCTGTGTCACTCAGCCCCACACAAAATCCCACACAACAGAGGTTCTGCTTCTGTCCCTCCAGCTTTGATTTTTAATAGCTTCAAACAGAGCCTCCTCTCACACAGGGCACAACACCCCAGGCTCCCAAAAATGAATTTCAAGGGCAGAAGAAAAGAAACTCTCTTTCACCAAGTACTGATAAAGGGGAAAGACAGGAGATTAGGAGAAACTGTTGCACATGCAGAAAAAAATAATGAGAAATGCAAAAAACTCAGAAAGTGTCCTCAAGGACTCAAAGCAAAACCTGGAAGATGCTCAGAGAYACAGCAAACTGAGGTTGAAATATTTCAGTGTGTTTTATTTGATTGAAAAAATAAAGCTTTTTTTCCCTGTTTTAGCTATGTTTGTCTAGATAAGGGGAGTTTTACAATGTCACCAGGACAGGGCTGGGAACACTGGACAGGGACAGGAGATGGGCTCAGGGTGGTCACAGCCAAGAGAGCCCAGGAGAGGTGGCAGTGTCAGAATTCGTGCAGGTACAAGGAAAGGYGGGGCCCAGGGAGCAGAGCTGTGCATCCCAGGCTGGAGAATTCCTTACCTGGCTGTGGATTCTCCCTCYTGCAGCGGGCAGGAGATGGCTCCACACACCATGAGCAGGGCTGCAGCCAGGCACACGGCATAGGCAGCGCTGGATCCCAGCCCTGCTCCCGTGGGCAGCTCCGACCACACCACGATATCCAYGCTGGGAACATCCCTGCAACACAGACATGCAGGGAACTGACACAACCACCCTGAATTCCACCTCCAGACAGCATCACAGAGGCACAGGAGGCCAGTTAGGACTGATYACAGGGAAAGCTGGTTGAAAACTGGCAACATCAGCACGTGCATCTGACACACAGGGGCTTCAGGAGGGCTTATTCCCAAATGGAGCCTGGGCAAGGCACTGTGCTGGAATTAAGCCTTCCTGAATTGTCAGGCTGTTAGAAGGGGAATTTGGTAACTAAATACCTGAGCAGCACCATAAGGAGCCCCTCCAGATTGTTGTAAACAGGATTTTAAACTGATTTCTAAATAAAGGCYAAACATTTCAAATCTGTAACTGCACAGTGACATCCYGCTGRAGSAACAGACAGATGGAGCATGGACAWAYCCATGTCCCTCTGCCCCACTGGACACATCTGGATCATATTACAGACCCCAAAATCAAACCCAGGAGCTTTGCAGGGAGTGACAGTCCCAGTGCCATCCTGAGACTGCAGGGAAATCACAACCCAGCTGCACGTCCCAGGTCTTTACCTTTTGGTATCTTGGATGAATATACAGAAATTGGGCTCTGCTTTGGTTTCTGACACTGCCCTGAGCACCCATCCAGTCACAACGAGATATCAACTGTGCTGGGTAAGGTTAGGAACTGGAACAGCCCCAAGTTCTCACAGTTTTAGGGACATTCAGCCCACAAGGGGATCAGACTTAGCTCAGACAACAAATTCACAGTTTATTTCTGTTTTTCCAGCCTAAGCCAGGGTGACAGGAGCTGCCTGCTGGAGGGAGGGGTGTCTGTGTTGTGACTGTGGCACGAACAGCTCGGGTTTCAGCCCTCAAAACTAAACGAGAGAAGAGATTCCCAGCTCACCTGCCTGGGGCACCCACCCACCCCCAAAAATTTTGGGGCAGGAGGGGGAGCCTTACCCATACTTAGCAGAAATAGCCAGGCACATATACAGGAAGGCAAGCGTAGCAAGGCTGTCTGGAGCTGAGGCTCCAGCAGCAATTCCAGTAAACTCCCTCAGAGCATCCAGCTCTTCTACGCTGGGGGACTTGGACTCATCAAAGTCAGCTAGGGAAGCAAGCAGGGGAGAGTTTAAACACTTAGAAAACAGGGAATGGTTACACTGAGAGCAGTATTTACAGCAACACCTCCTGTAACAGCAGGCAGAAACAGCTGGAGACAATTTCAGGCTCTCCACCTGAGGATTTGTGATAAAATAAAAGCAAAATCTCCACCAGGCACTCTGAAATCCCAATGTTTCCTCTCTCCACACCTGCAGCTGCACATCTCCCAGTGCATAMATCCATAATCACTATGGAGAACTTGGCAAGTCACAAACTCCTCATTAAAGAATGTGGATTTTGGAACTGGGATATCCTGGGGCTCCAGCCAGTACAGAATGCTGCAGAAAATCCTGTGAGGGCTGGTGGGGGGCAGACAAGCAGGAAAACAGGTCTTGTATTCCCTGACCTCCTCAGGAGCTCTGAGCAGCTTCAGAGAGGCTCCTTTTTGGTCCCCACCAGTGACACACTGGTATGGTGACACAGGCTGGCTTCTGTTTCTGTCACAGCATTGCCTGAGCTACAACAGCACAGGAACAAGTCCCTGGGACCCAAACAGGAGGAGAGAGGGCCACRCACGGATATCTGAGCATCAGCAGGGACACAAGGGGGATGTGAGTGACTGAGAGGTGTGGGGACAGGTCAGTGAAACACACACTGAGCGGGATCAGAGGCAGCGAGGCCCTGAAGCACTGCAGCAAGGACAAATAACCCCATGGGGGTCTCTGCAGAGATCACCTCATGGAGAGAGGACCCAGCACAGTGACGGGGTGCAGAAGGCACCGAGCAGCGCYGAGATCCCCTCACTCCGCCGGGGCAGCGGCTCCTCCCCCTGRCCCTTGCCTGCTATCCGCCCCCGCAGGGCCCGGAGGCCAGGGGTGTCCCAGCTCCTCCGAACGCCGACGCCGGGCAGGGAGACGCTCAGCCGCCCCTCAGCGCCGGGCCGCAGGCGGAGAAACGTCCGCAGGTCCAGCGCCACGGCCAAGGCCACCTGCGGACGGAGAACAGGGGTCAGCGGAGCCGGACAGCCCTTACTGCGCCCGGCAGCTCCCGCTCTGCCCGGTGTGCCCTCACCTTGCCCAGCACCACCGCGTGTTCCCCGTGCAGGATCACCTTCCCCGGCGCYGACACCGCCAGCTCCCGCGCCCACATCGCCGCCGCCTCACGGCCCGCGCCGACTGACAGCCCCGCCCACCAATCGGGGCCGCGCCCTGCCCCGCCTTCCCGCACCCAGCCAATAGCAGGGCGTTCTTTGGGGGCGGGACTTGCGGGCGACCAATGGGAATGCGGCGCTGTGGGGTGGCGCGGTGCTGGGGTGAGGGCGGGACGGTGGCCGCGCAGGGTCACGGGGCGGTGGCGACGGCGGCCGGGAGGGATGTGGCGGCGGGCGGCAGCGGCGGCCGGACGGGGCCTGCGGGGGCCGCTGGGGATGGCGGGGCGGCGGTGGCGGAGCGGGGCGGGCAGGTGAGCGTGGGAGGGCCGGGAT